AGGACATCATGCTTGGTAAAGTAGAGGGTCAGCAAAAAAGAGGAAGACCCTCAATGAGATGGACTGACACAGTGGCTGCAACAATGGGCTCAAGCAGAACAATGATTGTAAGAGTGGCACAGGACCGGACAGTGTTTTGTTCCGTTGTACACAGGGTTGCTACGAGTCAGAACCAACTCAACGGCAGCTAACAACATTTAACAATCCTAAGTAAAAAAAATACCATGGGAGCTAAAATAACATTTTATTTTCCATTTGGATAGTACAGTAAAACCTGCAAAATTGGAACCTGTGTAAGGTGGAAACCTGTCAGAGAAGGAAAACGAAACTCTTTTCCACTAAAACAAGTGATACAAAAGTGGTAAGACTGCATCCTGTCAAAGGCAGAAAACTTGTAAGACCTGAAAAACCAAGGCAGGTCTGTCAATTTCCCACTCTCACATGTTTCATTGCATTATATTTGATTACTATGTACACTGGTGGTATCTTGAGACCTTAATATTATTCAGAGCACCTTCATTTTAGCGCATTCTCAACATTGTCGATTTCATATTAATGTGAGATTGTCCAGCTTAATTAAGGTTTTATGGGTTACATCATGGTTACCTTATTTCACTTCCAGTATTACAGAGAAAAATAAATATGTGGATATACCTACTTTTGTCCTTTAAATATGAATGGGATGAAATTTACCATCTATTAAAATGTCTAACTACCGTAGGAAATGGATACTGATAATTGTAGATTTTAAAAAGTACTGCCTCATAAACATAACTATTTGTCAAGAAAGATGTTTACATTCACATATCAAGCTCCAATACAATAGCAAACGCAAGTTATTTTTCTGACGTAGCCTTAACAGACATAGTGGAGGCTCCTAAAACTGTTCATACAATAATCCACATGTACTAGAGCAATTATTCCCTTGGACAGAGGAAAAATTATGGAACCAAATCTGAAATTAAATTGTTACAATAAAACTCTGAAGTGAACCAACCCAAACAAACACACAAATCTAATGAATGCACTGGTGCTTTTTTAGGTCACTATGGTATGCTAGGAAACCCTGCTGGCGTACTGGTTAAGAGCTAGGGCTGCTAACCAAAAAAAAGGTCAGCAGTTTGAATCCACCAGGCACTCCCTGGAAACCCTATGGGGCAGCTCTACTCTGTCCTATAGGGTCGCTATGAGTCAGAATCAACTTGATGGCTACAGGTTTGGTTTTTAGGTTTATGGTATGCTAGTTTACTGTGATACTGTACAAGCAGCAATTTGATACTAAATTTAGTTAGATCAGTTTCAAACATATACAAAATTTAAAAATATAGGAAGCGATAGTCCTGGACAGAATGGAAGAAAAGTGTAGAACAAACCTCAAATTTCAAGAAAAGGCCAGACTTACTGGATCAGTATAGACTACAGGATCCTGCAAAACTACTGCCTTGACATACAGTTTAAACTTGGAACTGAAGCCACTCCTGGAGGTCACCTTTCAGCCAAATAATAGACTGGCTCATAAAATTAAACAATATCACCTGTGAGTATTGTGCGCCTTTAAATAATAATCTATATGAGATCAAATGGTCAATATTTACCCTAAAGCAAAGAAGAGAAGGTAAGGGGGGCCAGGGAAGCTAGTTTAATGGAAACAGAACAACCAGAATGGAAATAATGAGAATGCTGACACATTGCAAAGAATGTGACCAATACCACTTAACAATATGTATAGAAATTGTTAAATGGGAACCTAATTTGCTACGTAAACTTTCACCAAAAATACAATAAAATAAAAGGAAAAAAAATATAGCAAGGAAATTAATAAGGAGTTTCTAAAATCAAACTGAGGCTCTCAGCAAGGCCAAGATGGCTGATGGCTAGGCTCTCAGTAAAGGATTAATCCAGTGCACTCTGAGTAAGCAGGGGAGAGAGACAGGCAGTGTTTCCAAGGACATCATATTTGTGTCACATGCTTCCTGGAATATTCTAAGCACATACATTAGTTTTCTTTTTGAATCCCTCTCCTGCTTGTCAATTTCTGTGCTGTTAGTTGTAAGGCTTGTTACACATATTGGGCATTACGTATCTAGCTTTTACAGTCATACTACCAGACTCAAAGTTACGCAAAGGATTACATATCTTGAGAAGACTCATGTTTCTGGAACTTCTGAGCTTGTGCCCTAGTACTCCATCACCTTGTGTATTGCTCAGATGTTTCACTAAAAAATTTAGCCTGTCTACTCCAGGTGTTCCTTACCATCAGATCACCAGCAGCAAAGTGACTAAGCAATGGCATAGTGAAGATACTAGATAGTGTCCGGCTATTGAATAAAAGCATAATAGCATCTGGGGTCCTAAAAGCTTAAAGGCAGATCTGTGTTATAGCACAACTAAAAGATCATGCAGAAGAAAGTGCTCTTATAGTGGTTCTTGTGATCTAAGAATTTCTATCTAAATTCTTGATCAAAAGGTGGGAATAATGAGTTTCTAAAATCAAACTGAGGCTCTCAGCAAAGCCAAGGTGGTTGACAACTAGACTCTCAATAAAGTGTTAATCCAGATCATTCTGAGTAAGCAGGGGAGAGAGACAGAAAGTGAAGTAATCTACGTGCTTAGAATGTTCCAGGAAGCATGTGTTGCAAATGCAATGTCCTTGGAAAGAATGTTTTGCGCAAATGGTCTTCTGGAAGGAGATAAGATTAACTGATATGAATAAAGAGCTGTTTTTGAACTATTTGTAGGATTAGTCATGCCTAACTTTGTGTATAAAAGCTCAACTTTATCTCCAGAAAGAGTGAGTATTTTGGAAATTCTTCCTGAATGCTGCCTGATTCAAACTGCCATATTCCCTCAATAAAAGTCTTTACTATTGCTTTTAATAGACTCAGAAATTTTACTCTTTGACTAAATCTAAAGTGACAAACCTTCCATACCTATGGACAACATGTATAATAATCAGACAAGGTGGAACACTAACAAAAACATTAGTCTTAAGTAATGACAGTAAGATTGAAACACCTTTTTGAGGTTAGAGCATCCAAATGAGAACTTAGAAGTCAGGATGAAAACAGAGCTAATCAAAGGAAATTAGAAATTCAAGGAAAAAGTTCTAAAATACATACATAATATAGAGTAGAAAGGAAATCAGACTATTCTGGGATGAAATAAAAATAGGAGACAAGTAAAGACTACAATTCAAATCACAGGCAATAGTAACTGTGGCCATAGAAGAAGAGAACAATTTAGCTAGTAAAGAGTAATTATAAGGTTATTTTCATTTATATTACACAGTGCCAAAGATGAACTATCATAAACCACACAGATTATTATAAATTATGGAATGAAAAATGCTTGTCTGACATGAGAAAATAGATAGCGTATATATTTTATGAACCTAAAAAAAAAAAATTGGTTTTATAGTCTATAAGTGAGTTCAAAATAAGCATTCTATTTAAAATGCTTTATTTTAACTCTTGTCATAATTTACTAACCAGGTACAAAGAACATTTGAGATTCTACAGAAACAAACATGCAAAATTAAATAAAAATGCTCATGATTGTAAAATATTTGTTATCCAACAAATTGCTGAGGTATCACAAAAATTAAAATTTAAAGCAAAGACACGATCAAAATGCTGGGAAGCAAACCAAGACTGGGGACGAAAAGACCAAAAATACTCAAGGCAGACCCACCTAGAACATTCATTATCCATAATTTCTGTTGAGTCCTGAAAAATGTAAGGATGACAGACAGGAATGACTCTGGTGTGCATCAACTTATGACTATGATGGCCAAAAACACAAGGTATGTATAGATATTTATAGATAAGTAACTCAATTCCACTTGCTCCTAGCTGATTTGATCTAGTATAAACCTTGCAATATTTTGAAAATTCAAAAAGGTTTTTACATTGAACCATCAAGTTCATGATAGTTAATAAGCCCTAGATATAGATTTATATTTATCTACACTTGGTGTTTAATTTTAAGTAAATGAAATTAGCAACTCAACATAAACCTAACTAGTATCATAAAATATTATAGAATACTATGCTATGCCCATTATTATAATCATTGGAACAAAATACAGGAAAATTCAAATACTTTTTATTGCTGGTCAAAGGCTATTAATTTTTTGTGTAGTTTAATTTTTTTTTAAAAAGGATTTATAACATCATTTACCTGCAGATGAACAATTCTCTGAAATATATCTTCTCTCATGCTCATCTCAATATCAAAACGAGAAAGTCTTTTGTCTGCTTCAGTACTTGCTGCCCGTACTTCTTTGTCAGAGGAGACATGCTGGGGAAAGTCTAGCATGGTTCTTTCCACTGTTGATAGAGAAAAAAATTACTAATACTATTTTCTTCCGGTTGTAATTGAGTTGATTCAGACTCATGGTGACACCGTATGTGATAGAGTAGAACTGTGCTCCACAAAGTGTCTAATGGCTGATTTTTTTGGAAGTAGATCATCAAGCATTTCTTCTAAGGTGCCTGTGGGTGGACTTGAACCACCAACTTTTCAGTTAGCAGCCGAGTGCATTAATCATTTGCACCACCAAGATGTGCAGAATCAATATTAAGTCAAATACCTCCTGCCTAGATGAATGATTATCCAAATATAAGTTTGTCATTTTATACTTTCTGTAAAGGTTCCTAGGGCTATCAAAAAACAGCATCTAATGCAGGACTTGGCTGTTCTTATTGGCACCATTATGAACAACAATAAGTGTTGTGCACTGAGCAATTATCAAAGTATGTTTAGAGCATAATTAACTTACTGGGGAATGTAGGGAAAAAAACATAGTTCTTATAGTCAGGCATCTTATAATTTTGGGGGGGGAAGTATATAAAATGATAAAGAACAACACATGACAGAGAATATTAATTTTCAAGTGAAGAGGATAGTAGCCCTTGAACTACCAAGGGCTGGGACACTAAGTAACTGAAGAAGGTAGTAATTGTGTGGGACCTTAGAGGATGGGTGAGGCAAGAGAAGGGGCTCAGTAGGGGCTGGAGCAGTGGGAAAGGCAAGCACGGGGGCTGGCAGAGACAAAGAATGTTTAAGAATCAAGCAGATCAACTTAGTGGGGTGGGTTATGTTTAAAATAGGAGTTCTTAATCTTGTTTTATTATTAAAAAAACCAAAACAAACTTGTTGCTGTTGAGTCAATTCTGACTCACAGCAACCCTACAGGACAGAGCAGAACTGTCACGTAGGGTTTCCAAGGCTGAAAATCTTTACAGAAGCACTGCTACATCTTCTTCCCATGGAGCAGCTGGTGGATTTGAATCACTGACCTTCTGGCCAAATTTATGTACCAACCACTAAGGCCAAAGAAGAAAAAACTGAAGATTTTTACCAACTTCTGCAGTCTGAAATTGATCAAACAAGCAATCAGGATGCATTGGTATTACTAGTGACTGGAACATGAAAGTTGGAAACCTTCGAAGAAGAAGGAATAGTAGTTGCAAATGTGCCTTGGTGACAGAAACAATGCCAGAGATCGCATGACAAAATTTTGCAAGACCAATTACTTCTTTGCAAATACCATTTTTCAATGACATAAACAGCAACTATACACGTGGACCTCACCAGATGGAATACACAGGAATCAAATCGACTACATCTGTGGAAAGAGACAATGGAAAAGCTCGATATCATCAGTCAGAACAAGGCCAGGGGCCGACTGTAGAACAGACCATCAACTGCTCATACGCAAGTTCAAGTTGAAGCTGAAGAAAATTAGAACAAGTCTACGAGAGCATCCACGAGAGCCAAAGCATGACCTTGAGTATATCCTGCCTGAATTTAGAGACTATCTCAAGAATAGACTTGATGCATTAAACACTAATGACCGAAGACCAGACAAGTTGTGGAATGACATCATATGTGAAGAAAGCAAGAGGTCATTAAAAAGACAGGAAAGAACGAAAAGACCAAAATGGATGTCAGAAGAAACTCTGAATGTTGCTCTTGATTGAATGTCAAGCAGCTAAAGCAAAAGGAAGAAATTATGAAGTTAAAAGAGCTGAACAGAAGATTTCAAAGGGTGGCTCGAGAAGACAGTAAAGTATTATAATGAAATGTGCAAAGACCTGGAGTTAGAAAACCAAAATGAAAGAACATGGTCGGTATTTCTCAAGCTGAAAGTACTGAAGAAAAAATTCAAGCCCTGAGTTGCAATACTGAAGGATTCTACGGGGGAAAATATTAAATGACGCAACAAGCATCAAAGGAGATGGAAGGAACACACAGAGTCATTGTACCAAAAACGATTGGTCAACGGTCAACCATTTCAGAAGGTAGCATATGCTCAAGAACTGATCGTACTGAAGGAAGAAGTCCAAGCTGTACTGAAGGCACTGTCAAAAAACAAGGCTTCAAGAACTGATGGAATACCAATTGAGATGTTTCAACAAACAGATACAGTGTTGGAAGTGCTCACTCATCTATGCCAAAAAATCTGGAAAACAGCTACCTGGCCAACTGACTGGAAGAGATCCATATACATGCCCATTCCAAACAAAGGTGATCCAACAGAAGGCAGAAATTATTGAACAACATCATTAATATCACACACAAGTGAAGTTTTGCTGAAGATCACTCAAAAGCGGTTGCAGCAGTACATCGACAGAACTGCCAGAAACTCAAGCTGGATTCAGTAGAGGATGTGGAACGAGGGATGTTATTGCTGATGTCAGATGGATCATGGCTGAAATCAGAGAATACCAGAAAGATGTTTACCTGTGCTTTATTAAATATGCAAAGGCATTTGACTGTGTGGAGCATAACAAATTATGGATAACACTACGAAGAATGGGAATTCCAGAACACTTAATTGTGCCAAGAGGCAGATGTCTGAACAGAACAAGGGGATACTGCGTGGCTTAAAATCAGGAAATGTGTGTGTCAGGGTTATATCCTTTCACCATACTTATTCAATCTGTATGCTGAGCAAATAATCCGAGAAGCTGGAGTATATGAGGAAGAATGTTGCATCAGGACTGGAAGAAGACTCATTAACAACCTGCAATATGCAGATGAAACAACCTTGCTTGCTAAAAGTGAAGAGGACTTGAAGCACTTACTAATGAAGACCAAAGACTATAGCCTTCATTATGGATTACACCTCAACATAAAGAAAAGAAAAATCCTCTCAACTGGCCCAATAAGCAACATTATGATAAACAGAGAAAATACTGAAGTTGTCAAGGATTTCATTCTACTTGGATCCACAATCAATGCCCATGGAAGCAGCAGTCAAGAAATCACCTGATGTATTGCACTGGGCAAATCTGCTGCAAAAGACATTGTCATGGGTTGAATTGTGTCCCCCCAAAATATCTGTCAACTTGGCTAGGTCATGATTCCCAGTACTGTATGATTATCTACCATTTTGTCATCTGATGTGATTTCCCTATGTGTTGTAAATACTATCACTATGATGTTAATGAGATGGATTAGTGGCAGTTATATTGATGAGGTCTACAAGATTAGATAGCGTCTTAAGCCAATCTCTTGTGAGATATAAAAGAGAGAAGCAAGCAGGGACACATGAGGACCTCATACCAGCAAGAAGGCAATGCTGGGAGCACAGCGCGTCCTTTGGACCTACAGTTCCTGCACTGAGATGCTCTCAGACCAAGGCAAGACTGATACGTCACAAGGACCTTCCTCCAGAGCCTGCAGACAGAGAAAGCCTTCCCCTGGAGCCGGTGCCTTGAATTCAGACTTCTAGCCTACTGGACTGTGAGAGAATAAACCTCTCTTTGTTAAAGCCATCCACTTGTGGTATTTCTGTTGTAGCAGCACTAGATAACTAAGACAGACGTCTTTAAAGCGTTAAAAAGCAAAGACATCACTTTAAGTACTAAGGTGTGCCTGACCCAAGTCAAGGTGTTTTCAATCATTTCATATGCATGCAAAAGCTGGACAGTGAATAAGGAAGACCAAAGATGAATTGATGCTTCTGAATTACACTGTTAGTGAAGAATACTGAATATATCATGGACTGCCAGGGAACGAACAAATCCTTCTGGGAAGAAGTACAGCCAGAATGCTCCTTAGAAGTAAGGATGGCAAGACTTTGTCTCACATACTTTGGACATGTTATCAGGAAGGACCAGTCCCCGGAGAAGGACATCATGCTTGATAAAGTAGACGGTCAGTGAAAAAGAGGAAGACCTTGGACGAGATGGACTGACACAGCGGCTGCAACAATGGGCTTAAGTATAACAAAGATTGTGAGGACGGTGCAGGACCAGGCACTGTTTTATTCAGTTGTACACAGGGTTGCTGTGAGTTGGAACTAACTTGACAACACCTAACAACAAAGTCATGGACCCTCCCCCAAATGCACATAAGCATATAAACAAACAAAAATTCCATACAATTACAGAAGATTCCCAGATTCCCTGAAATCTCAGTAGACACATCCAGTAAGCAGCTGGATATTGGGGCTATCTCCTATTAAACGATGATGATAATGTTGTTGTTATTAGTTGCCATTGAGTCAATTAAGCTGTGGTGACCCCATGTGCACTCCATAGGGCTTTCAAGGCTTTGACCTTTTGGAAGCAGACTGCCAGGTCTGTCTTCAGAGAAGTCTTAGTCTGCTCTAATCTTCACAAATTAAAGTCGGTTCTTAGGCTTTTCCTACGTTTGTATTTTGGCTTTAACTGGGCAAAAATCTATGTCAGTAAAATAACCTATACTATAAAACAAAAATGAGAATAGTTATTAGTGATCATTTTGCCTATGCTATGACAATGAATATATTTTTATTTTATTATCTTCAGTATTTTGAAAGTACCATAAGTAGGAAAAATTTACCCGTATGACATGAACAGTAGAGCTATCCTATTCATACCAAGATTTGTACAGTTAAAGAAGCTAACTCATTCATATCAGTTCTCTTAAAGCACTGTTACAAATACAACTGTAAAAACAAAAAATAAACAAAAATCTGCCACAAATATCTGAATAGTTTAATAATGTATGTTTTTAAAAAATCAAATTAGGTAATTATGCTTTTAGGATTTGATTAAATATACAATATTATGCTCCTTAACTAAGGAGAGAATGAAACAGAAAATTTTTATTTTAATACATATAGTACTTGTTTAAATGATATAGTTAACTATAGTTACATTTTCTGTTTAGTTTTTTAAATTAGCACAAAAAGATATTAACAAGGAATACTGCTCAAGATCTTAAATGAGCAACATAAAATACACAAGCCTAAAACTGGAAACATATTCTCAAACAAATAATAATGCTGAAAAGCACTTCCTTCCTTAGTTTGCCACAAAGACCTGGAACCCAACTTTATGCTCTCACTTCCAAACTATAAACAATGCTGATGCCCAGTACCTAACACTATACAAACAGGGTCTTTAACAGCTATTGTAGAAGGCATAACGTACTCTGAAAACATGCACACGTAGGAAAGATTAGTCTTTAAGATATCTCTTCCCAAACTAAAAAATGATGATAAACCACAAAGATAAATCTTGTTATAGGAGAACAAGAACAATATCACAAAACTGAAAGTATATTTAAAAGATCTATTATTGGGGGGGGGGGGACAGAATTTAAAATAGTAATACTTTTTCAGATTTTGTTTTTTTCCCCACTGATTTTTTATATTAGTCAACTATGTAAGTTATCAGGCTGGTACATCATCTTGGCTGTAGAACTGAGCACCTGGTCTATGGACAACCCAAATCCAGGGTGGGAGATGCACATGAAGTTATAAGTTCTGCTGAATAAGGGCCAATCTCGTCCCCTTGACTTTGATTAACAAGATCGATCACATCTTTTTATTCAGGAGTTTAAACTTAAGACTCGTAACAAGATCTCATGGTCAGTAATGAGAGTGAAGCAGTTGGTAGTAGGGATAGAAACTGAAGAGAAATACGCAGATAAGAGAGAAAGTAGCCAAGTCCCTATTACGGTGGAACACAGAATAGGGAACTCTTGGTGTTGAAAGGCTGGTGGGGGCAACGCAATGAACAGTTCACTAAGGCTATGCTGGATTCTGGACAACTTTCCAAATTCCAAAATGCATTAGTGATTATGCTACCCAGCTCTACAGCTATCCTATGTTTTTATGAAGCCTAGACACATAGCCAAGATTGTATAGCCATAATTACCCTACAAAATATGTACAAGTCTTACAGTTAAGCCAAGTGACTCTTCATTTCTTATAACTCAAAGGACCTAACATATACATTATAAAAGTAATACATGTTCATTTTAGGAAATCTGGAAAACAGATGAAAAGCACAAGGAGGAAAATAAAAATCAACTGTAAACCTACCACTTAAGACATTTGTGTATTTTCTTCTAGTTTTCCTTCTGTGTCCTTTTCTTCTGTGTTATTAAATACTGTTCTGAAACATGATTTTAATGTCTACGTAGTGTTACAGAGGAAGTATGTATCATAATTTACTTAGCTGTTCTATTGGTTGACATTTAGAGATCGTTTCTAAGGTTTTAGTATGATAGAGTACCTATTTATACATAAATTTACACACAAATTTTGCCTGTATTTCTGATTATTTCCTTTGAATACGTGCTTACATTTGGAATTATTGGGCTAGGGTACTAGCTTCTTAAAAGCTTTGATACAGTCAATCCTCATTCTTCACAGATACCATATTTGCAATTGCCTACTTGATAAAATTTATTTGTAACCCCATACTCAGTACTCACAGCGCTCTCATGGTCGTTCATGGACATGCACAGAGTGGCGAAGATGTGAGCTGCCTGATGCGCATGTTCCCACTTGAAGTCGAATGAGGCAATGATTTGCCTTCTTATTTCGGCTCTCATACTGTAAACCAGGGTCCTTTCCGCAGTCTATTTAGTGCAATGTGTTTTGCATTTTTCTGCTTTTTTTTGGTAATTTCACTATTTAAAATGATCCCCAAGTGTAGTGCTGAAGGGCTGTCTAGTATTCCTAAGTGCAAGAAAGCTGTGATGTGCCTTACAGACAGAACACCTGTATTAGATAAGCTTTGTTCAGGCATGAGGTACAGTGCTGCTGGCCATGAATTCAATGTTAAAGAATCAACCATACATACTAACTAAGGTATCTTTAAACAGAAACACACGTAAAACACAGTATGTATTGACTGGCCGACGAAAACGTTGACTGGAGACTCGCAGGAATGTAACCCTGTGTTTCTCCTAGGAGCAATGCTCAGTATTTGCTAATTCAGTGTTTGCTGTGACTTTATAGAACATAATAACTGCAATCTCTTGTAAAACTTGAAAACTGACTGCCAAGCCAGAAAGCATAAAATGGTTTATGATACCCTAAGATGAAACATTGATATACCTTTGCATCCTACTCACCTATATATTTTACTTCTACATCTGCCAGTGCCTGCAAACAGTTCTCGTAAGTTACTTCCTCAACACTGAGCATTCCAACAGCATCATACACCTGTTTAGTCTGCACAATGAGCTCCTCAGTTCTTGTTTTAATTTGCTCTGGTGACAGATCCCATCTTAAAATGTTTCTGCCAGTTGCAGTAAACGAAGAAGCTGTCTGAAGAGCAGACATCACTTCTCTTCCTAAAGTCATTCTGAGTAAAATCTTGGAACCACCAACTCTAAAAAGAAACAGAAAAAGAATAAAAATTAGGGATTTCTGTTGATCCAAAGTCAATGTACAAATGTGTATTATCTAATTAATTTTTTTTTTTACTGTGCTTTAGGTGAAAGCTTACAGCTCAAGTTAATTTCTCGTACAAAAATTAATACATATGTTGTTATGTGACATTAGTTGCAATCCTTATGTGACAGCACACTCCCCCTTTCCACCTCAGATTTCCTGTGTCCATTCAATCACTTCCTGTCCCTTCCTGCCTTCTCATCCTGCCTCCAGACAGGAGCCGCCCATTTGGTCTCCTGTATCTGCCAGAACTAAGAAACACACTCTTAACGAGTATTGTTTTATGTTTTATAGTCCAATCTAATCTTTGTCTGAAGAGTAGGCTTCAAGAATGGTTTTGGTTCTGGGTTAACAGAGCATCCGGGGGGCCATGGCTTCGGGGGTTCCTCCAGTGTCAGACCATTAAGTCCTTTTACATGAATTTGAGTTCTGCTCCACACTTTTCTCTCACTCTGTAAGAGACTCTCTGTTGTGTTCCCTATCAGGGTGGTCACTGATGGTAGCCAGGCACCATCAGTTTAAAAAAAACTGAGCAAATTTTTTTCAGATGAACACATATTTACAGAACTAAATGTGCTTGTATTTTCTATTTTTCTTGCACAGTATAGTTTTAATGGAATTCATACTTTCCAAACACTGTTTTGTTATGTAACTCAATTACATATAAACATACTAATGTATATAGGTCAAAGTTTATTAGTGGCTATCAGGGGCAGGAGGGAGGGGGGATGAAGGCGTCACTGCTTAAAGGGTACTAAGTTTCTGTTAAGGGTAACGGAAAAATATGGAAACAGATAATGGTGATGGTTACACAACATGATGAACATAATTAATGTCACTGAATTGTCCATGTAAAAAATGTTGAAATGGTATGTTTTGCTATATATATTTTTATCACAATAATGAATTTTTTAAGAAAATAATAAAGTTGAGTGCCAGAGACATAATAATTATTCTTTATAAATCAGTAATCTTTCTTATTTAAATGTTTTTCCTGTGCTAAATTCTACCTACTGTGTATGTAGACTCAAAAACAAATATATAAATAAATAAAACTTGGGGTTCAACAAGAAAAGATTTCTAAGATTTTTTTATACTGAAAATAAAAAAATTTTTTTTTTAACCAAACTTTCATGCAAATCAAGAATGGCAATTTGAATTTAACACTTGGAAAATAAACTCTGGCATGGATATGGCAGAAAGCTAAAAGAAAAAAAATTCTTAAGAATAATGATATCAATACTTCACGCTCTTAAAATACTCAAACTAATAATATTGACACCATACATTTATATATTACTTTAGAGCTTATAAATAAAAAATGTTATAATTAATAGCTAACATTTATTGCACAGTTAGGCATTGTTCTAAATGCTTTCCAAGTATTATCTCACTCAGTCCTCACAACAACTTTATAAGGTAGATACTATGCTTATTCTCATTTCACCAAAGAGGAAACTAAAACATGAAGATGTTCAATAACTTGCCCAAGGTCACAGAGCCAGTTATATGGTGGAAGCAAGGATTAAACACCAGGCAGTATGGATTCAGAATGCACGCTCTTAACCTCTATGCTAAGCCTCATCCCTATTATCTTAGGAAAAAAACAAAAAACAAATCCACTGCCGTCGAGTCAATCCCGACTCATAGCAACCTTATAGAACAGAGTAGAACTGCCTCATAGGGCTTCCTAGGCTGTAATTTTTACAGGAGCAGACTGCCACATCTTTCTCGTCTGCCACATCTTTCTCTCGAACAGTGGCTGGTATGCTTGAACTGCTGACCTTTCGGTTAACAGCCAAGCGCTTAACCACTTGTGCTACTAGGGTTCCCTCCTATTATCTTACAAGACCTCAAAACAGCCTTATTATGTACGTCGGGTATTATTTCTCTTTCATCAATAAGATAATTGAGGCTCAGAGAGGCTAAGTGACTTGTTTAAGAATACTCAACAAATATTTAAGGGCATATACTATGGATCTGGTTACTGTAATAGGCAATGGGGATAAAACGGCAAATCAATTGGAGCACTGTTATTATAATATAGTGGAGAAGACAATGAATAAACAGGCAATTATATTACATTGAGATGAGTGCTACGATAGGAGTGTTGTTGCTGTTGTTAGGTGCCGTCAAGGTGGTTCCGACACATAGCGACCCTATGTACAACAGGAAGGTCCTTGTCATCAATTTTCTCCTGGTCTAGGAGCTTCTCTGTGCAGGAACCCTGGGTCCGAAGGACGTACTCTGCTCCCGGTGCTGTTTTCGTGCTCTGCTCCCGGTGCTGCTTTCTTGGTGGTATGAGGTCCCCATGTCTCTCTGCTTGCTTCTCCCTTTTATATCTCAAAAGGGATTGGCTTTAGATATAATCTCATCTTGTAGATTGAGTCTTGCCTCATTAACATAACTACCGCTAATTTCACCTTACTAATATCATAGAGGTAAGACACAGGAAAATCACATCAGATGACAGAATGGTGGACAATCACACAATAGAGGGAATCATGGTCTAGACAAGTTGACAGATATTTTTGGGGAACACAATTCAATCCATAACATTCTACCCTCTGGCCCCCCAAAATTCATGTCCTTGCCACATGTAAAACATATTTATCCTATCATATCATAGCAAAAGATTTAAATCAACTCCATGTCCAAAATCCAAAAATTCCATGAAATCTAGAATACAAGTTATCTGCTTCCAAAGTACAATGGTGCAACAGGCAGGTACAAGCTAGACATTTCCATTACAAATGGAAGAAATTGGAGGGAAAGAAGGAATAACAGGCACCAAGAAAGTCAGCAGAACACATTACATTAGCCTTCAAGGCTTGAAAATAATCCTCTGTTCTCTGAGACCATTTACACAAAGGCCCTACCCTCCAGACTCTAGGTATTGGCCATGCTCTCTGGATTCTCAGTAGAGGCCCCTTGGTCCTAGGCTTCAGCTCTGCCTTCCAGGCCCACTGGAATGGCAATTCTGTTACCTCGGCTTTAGGCGCACGATTCTCCCAGTCCATCTGAGTGGCAGCTCTACCCTTGGAGACTGAGGCAGCTCTGCTTCCTTATCTCTTCAGCTTCTGCTTCCTGGTTCCTTGGCCTCTCAGCTCCTTGGGCCTCACCACTTGCATCTACCCTATTGGGGCAAGTGTTCCAAAGCTCTTCAGCTCCACCAATAAGTGCCTGGAGGCACCCCACTCCACCAGGAAACTTCAGCCATAAGGCACTCAGCTCTCTTGCTCTGTGGGTCAGCTCCACTGATAAGTACCCAGAGGCACCCCACTCCACCAGGAAGCCTCCTGTGCAAAGGCACTCAGCTCTCTCACCCTGTGGGTCGGCTCCAGCACCATCTAGTGCTGGTCTCCTGGTTCTGCTGCTACTGTTTCTCTCCGTCTAGGTCATCTCCAGTATAACAGCTCTCCTCACTTCCTTCTGAATCCAGATTTTAGGTATCTGTTAGAGCAGCACTCTACTCTCGGTACCAATTCTTAGTCATCTAGTGCTGCTATAACAGAAATAACACAAGTTGATGGCTTTAACAAAGAGAAGTTTATTCTCTCACAGTCTAGTAGGCTACAAGTCCAAATTCAGGGTGTCAGCTCCAGGGGAAAGCTTTCTCCGTTGGCTCTGGAGGAAGGTCTGTGTCATCAATCTTCTTTGGTACAGAAGCATCTCAGTGCAGGAATCTCATGTCCAAAGGATGCACTCTGCTCCTGGCACTGCTTTCTTGGTAGCATGAGGTTCCCATGTGTCTCTGCTTACTTCTCTCTTTTATATCTCAAAACAGATTGGCTTAAGACACTATCCAATCTTGAATACCTCATCAGTATAAAAGCTGCTAATCCATCTTATTACCTCATAGTGATAGAGTTTACATCACATAAGGAAATCACATCAGATTACAAAACGGTACACAATCATACAATACTGGGAATCATGACCCTGCCAAGTTGACAGATACTTCTGGGGGACACAATTCAATCCGTAACACTCATTCTTAGCCAAAAGTGTTATTTTGATGCTCTTTCATAAACTATGAAGAATAAATGTCCACAAAGGCTCTTCTCCTCTAGCCCAGTTTCTGAGTTTACAGGTATAGGGTAAAGGCCCTAGTTTTACCCTAAGTAAGGTGGCCTTTCTCCTGGGCTCCAGAGAATAACACCTGGAGTAATTGGGGTGCCTTGGTCTGACACTTCCAGGGTACACTTGAAGACTTGTGCTGGCAAGTGGAGACCAGAAAAGACTCACCTGGGAGGCCAATATCAATTAGCTTAGGAGGCATGATTTAGCCTATCACACAGGACTGGCTGATAAAAGCCCTGAACACAGAGGCTCAGAGAGCTTCCTGGTTGACAAGAACATCTGCTCTCGGAAGTGTAGTGTGTCCCTTGGGACATGGAAACTCCGTGTGGGAACACTCCCAGACCTTGCCCTATGCATCTCTTGGTTTGTATCCTTTTCTGTTATATCTGTAGTTGTATGTATGGTATACTCTGAGAGTTCTGTGAGTTGTTCCAGTGAATTATTGAGCCCAAAGGGGTGGTGGGAGCCAGCAGGTCAGAAAGTTAAGGGTGCCACGCAGAGGCAAAGTGAAGGGGACTTTTGCCCTGGGCGCAAGTCCAAAGGGGTGCTAGACTAGGCCCACTGGAGAATCACCCCCTGAATTGACGGGGGGTAGGGTGCAAGCTTAAAGATTGCTCCCGGATACTCGTTACCCTCGATAAGCCTCTGATGCCATGTGGACTCTGAGCCTGCAGCTGGCAACCTACAGGGGTAGTGGAAAATCAGCCCTGAATTTGTGGCTAGTAGGTTAGAAGGTTGGGATGGCATGTGGACTCCCCAAACCTGTGGCTGGCATGCGACTATTTGGCAGTCTTAAGGATGGTGTGCTTTTAACTTTTGAACTCTGACCTAGCTCCAGGTGGCTAGGGTCAGAGA